CATTTTTTTTTTGTTTGTTTGTTTTTTTTTTAAAGATTTTATTCATTTATTTGACAGAGAGAGATCACAAGCAGGCAGAGAGGCAAGCAGAGAGAGAGGAGGAAGCAGGCTCCCCGCTGAGCAGAGAGCCCGATGCGGGGCTCGATCCCAGGACCCCGAGATCATGACCTGAGCCGAAGGCAGCGGCTTAACCCACTGAGCCACCCAGGCGCCCCCTCCCTAGGCATTTTCCTAGACTTTTCTATCAGTGGCACCAGAGATGCAGAGTTTTTGGCATCAAGAATGTTACTAAAGGGGCGCCTGGGTGGCTCAGTGGGTTAAGCCGCTGCCTTCGGCTCAGGTCATGATCTCAGGGTCCTGGGATCGAGTCCCACATTGGGCTCTCTGCTCAGTAGGGAGCCTGCTTCCCTCTCTTTCTCTCTCTGCCTGCCTCTCCATCTACTTGTGATCTCTCTCTGTCAGATAAATAAATAAAATAAAAAAAAAGAATGTTACTAAATATATTTGTAAATACCATTTAATAAATAATATATTTTCACTTTTCATATTGACTATGTAAGTTTTATTTCTTTAATTCTTTTTTTATTGAAGTATAGTTGATACATCATGTTAAATTAGTTTCAGGTGGCGGTGCCTGGGTGGCGTCAGTTGGTTAAGCAACTGCTTTCTGCTCAGGTCATGATCTTGGGGTCCTGGGATCGAGTCCTGCATGGGGCTCCTTGATTGGCAGGGAGTCTGCTTCTCCCTCTCTCCTTCTGCCCCTCCCCCTGCTTGGGCTCTCTGTCTTCTTGTCAAATAAATAAAAATAAAATCTTTAAAAAGTAATTAGTTTTAGGTGTACAGTATAGTGATTTAACTTCTCTATACATCATGCTGTGCTCACAGGTGTAGCTACCATCAGTCACTGTACAATACTGTTACAGTACTATTGACTGTATTCCTTATGTTGCACCTTTTATCCCTGTGAGTTGTTCGTTCTATAACTGGAAGCCTATATCTCCCACTCCCCTTCACCCATTTTGCCTATCCTCCCCCCACTGCCCCTCTGGCAGCCATCAGTTTGTTTTCTGTATCTGTGGGTCTGTTTCTGCTTTTTGTTTTATTCATTTGTTTTGTTCATTTGTTTTGTTTTTTAGGTTACACTTATAAATGAAATCATCTCACCATAATACTTTCCAGCTCCATCCGTGTTGTCACAAATGTCAAGATTTCATCCATTTTGTGTGGCTGAGTAATATTCGTGTGTGTGTGTGTGTGTGTGTGTGTGTGTACACATACAACATCTTCCTTATCCATTCATCTATCAGTGGACACCTGGGTTACATAAAAATAATGCTGCAGTAAGCATAGGGGTGGATATATCTTTTCAAATTAGTGTTGTCATTTTCTTTGAGTAAATAGCCAGTAATGGAATTAACTGGATCATATGGTATTTCTATTTTTGATATTTTGAGGAGCCTCCATACCCTTTTCTACAGGGCCTGCACAATTTATAATTTCACCAACAGTGTGCAAGGGCTCCCTTTTTCTCCAGTCCTCACCAACACTTGTTATTTCTTGTGTTTTCTATTCTAGCCATTCTGGCAGGTGTAAGGTGACACCTCTGGTTTTGTTTTGCACTTCCCTGATGATTAGTGATCTTAAGCATCTTTTCATGTGTCTTTTGGCTATATGTATGTCTGCTTTGGAAAAAATGTCTATTCAGATCCTCTGCCCTTTTTTTTCTTAAGTACTCCATGCCCATTGTGGAGCCCAACCTGTGGGGCTTGAATTCACAACCCTGACAAGAATTGGGTGCTTAACCAACTGAGCCACTCAGGTGCCCCATGTCCATTTTTTAATTCTATTATTTGGGGGTTTTTTTGTTTGCTTGTTTTTTGGTATTGAGTTGTATAAAAGTTCTTTATATAGTTTGGATATTAATCCCTTAGCAGATATATTATTTTTCAAATATTTTTTCACATTCAGTAGATTCCCTTTTCATTTTGTCAATGGTTTCCATCTCTATGCAAACGAATTTTTATTTTTGTTTCATATTATTTATATTTTATAAATATTATTAATATTTATATTAATAGGTTTTTTTTTTTTTTGCTTTTATTTCCCTTGCTTAAAGAAACATATCTTGAAAAAATGTTACAACAGCTGATGTCAAAAGAAATTACTACCTATATTTTCTTTTAGGAGTTTTATGGTTTCACGTTTCACATAAATCTTCAGTCCATTTTTATTTTATTTCATTTTATTATTTTATTTTATTTATTTTTTTAAATTTATTTGACAGACAGAGATCACAGGTAGGCAGAGAGCAGAGAGAGAGGAGGAAGCAGGCACCCCACTGAGCAGAGAGCCCGATGCGGGGGCTTGATCCCAGGACCCGGGGATCATGACCTGAGCTGAAGGCAGAGGCTTTAACCCACTGAACCACCCAGGCGCCCCATTTTTATTTTATTTTTGTGTTTTGTGTAAGGAAGTGGTAGTTTCCCAGACCTGTTCCGTGTTCCCAGCACCATTTATTGAAGAGACTGTCATATTTTCATTGTATAGTCTTGCCTCTTTTGTCATACATTAGTTAACCATATAAGTATGTGTTTATTTCTGGGCTGTTTATTCTGTTCCATTGATCTTTATATTTTTTTAATGCCAATACTGTTCTGCTTTGATTACTTTAACTTTGTAATATATCTTGAAACCTGAGAGTCCTGGCTTTGTTGTTCTTTCTCAAGGTTGCTTTGAATATTGGGGGGTTGGGGGGGGTGTCTTTTGTGGTTCCATACAAATTTTAATACTGTTTGTTGTTGGTCTATGGAAGATGATGTTGGTATTTTAATAGGGATTCCATTGAATCTATAGATTCCTTTGGGTTTGAACTACTCTCTAATCATGCATTTTACTGACACAAATTCTGCATGGCAAGTACTAGGTCAGTTTGGTTGTTTTAAACGATATGGCACTTCTGACCCCAAAACTGTGGTTTTTTTTCCCTGTTATCAGTCAGTTTTTCAACTCTCTGGACACCAATTAGATGTTCTACAATTCAGTTCAATTCTGATACTGAGTACCTGGAATTAGTGCTGACCTCACAGGTCTGATCTGCCCCCTACTTGAGATGCCAGTTACAGGTCCTGGACCTTTGTTACTTCTCACCAATCAGCTGTAAATCTAAGATTCCTCTGACCCCCTCTATGGGTTCAGTAATTTGTTAGAAATGGCTCACAGAACTCCGGAAGACACTTTAATTACTGTTACCAGTTTATTTTAAAGACTCAGTAACAGCTCAGTAACAGCTCAGTAACAGCCAAATGGACAGCGATGCTCATGGAGATGAGGGATGTGGATGGGCAGGGAGCAAGACAAGATGTAGAACTTCCATGCCATCTCTGGGTCCACCCTTCCAGCACCCTGATATGCTCACCAACTGGGAAGCTCTCCAGGCCTTGTGGTGTAGGTTTTTTGGGGGTTTTGTTTTTTAAGATTTTATTTATTTACTTGACAGAGAGAGAGCGAGAGAGCCAGAGAGCACAAGCAGGGGGAATGGCAGAGAGAGTGGGAGAAGCAGGCTCCCCGCTGAGCATGGAGTCCAACCTGGGCTGAAGGCAAATGCTTAACTGACTGAGCCACCCAGGTGCCCCGGTTTAGGGATTTTTATTGTAAGTTCAGTTATGTAGGCATGGTTGATTAAATAATTGGCTGTTGATTGGTTATTGGTGATTAACTCTGTTTCCCCGGACCTTCTGGAGTGAAGCTGAATATTTCAACCCTCTAATCGCATCTTTTCCTTTGACTGGTAAACTGACATTTTAAGGTTGTGTAAATTAGGCCCACCTGGAGTCACTTCATTAGCATGTGAATTAACAGGGCTTATTGGATGAATAACAAAAGATGCTCCTTTCACCTACATCACTCAGGAAGGATTTTTAGAAGCTCTTGTGTCAGGAGCCTGGTATAACACCAAATACATATTTATTATATCACAATATCACCCTATGGACTCAATAAATAATTGTCGAATGAATAAATTTGTGTGATTGTTGTTGCTGTCCCTTTTTTATGCATAGCTCTTTTTATTTTTAATTACTATAATATTCATTTCTAAGAGTATAAAAAGTGTCTTTTGTGATCTCTATGTATTTTACTTTTTAGGCCACCTGAGTGGCTCAGTGGGCTAAGCGTCAGGGTCCTCGGATCAAGCCCTGCATCTGGCTCTCTGCTCACTGGGGAGTCTGCTTCTCCCTCTCCCTCCTTCTGTGCTTTGTCTCTCAAATAAATAAATAAAAGTCTTTATATTTTACTTTTTAAGAAATTGAATATATTTGACATGTAACATTGTGTAAATTGGAGGTATACAACTTGTTAATTTGATACATTTATATATTGTAATAAAGGGGCACCTGGGTGGCTCAGTGGGATAAAGCTCTGCCTTCAGCTCAGGTCATGATCTCAGGGTCCTGGGATGGAGCCCCGCTATGGGCTCTCTGCTCAGCAGGGAGCCTGCCTCCTCCTCTCTCTCTGCCTGTCTCTTTGCCTACCTCTCGGCCTACTTGTGATCTCTGTCCATCAAATAAAAAATCTTAGTAATATGATTGCCATTCCATTTCTGAACTTTCACTTAGAGAATGTCCATCTTTTGAATAAAAATGTGAGTAAGTTTTACAGAGATTGAAGGAAATTATGTAATTATACAAAATTCTTACCACATCATTGGGGCTTTTGAAGATGGGGGGAGGAGCTTTATCTTCTTTAGCCTTCATAAGGACTCCAAAGAGAAAGAATATTTAGTGTGTGAGCCAGTGATATATGTACCTTAGAATAGATACAGTGTATTTTTAGCTAGTGCAGTAACAAGATGTATGAGAGGAAGAAGAGAAAGAAACATCATTGCACTGAAGTTTACCAAAGCCTTACTTGGAGATGGAGACAAGATTTGTTAAAGGTGATATCAGCTTCAAATTCTTCAGCAACTGAAACATCTAATATTGGCTTTATCATTTTTTCCCCAGGTGATCTACTGTTCTTTTGGTGGAACATCCAAAGGACTGCACTTCAATAACTTAATAGTTGGACTTGTCCTTCTTACGAGAGGCAGAGATGAAGAGAAAGCAAAATGTAAGCACTTCTGTTATCTCAGAGTGATAATACTACATTGGTGTGTAGAATAATTTACCTGAAAATTCTGATGACAGTCAAAGCATTTGAGTTGATATTTCTCCAAAGGAAATAATACAAGCGACCAATAGGCGCTTGAAAAAATGCTCAACATAATCAGGTGTTAGGGAAAGATACATTAAAATTAGAGTGAGATATCACTGCATATCTACCAGAATGGCTGAAACAAAAAAGACAGATTAGGATTGGTGAGGATGGAAAAGTTGCAATGCTCATACGTTGTTGGGAGTGTAAAATAGTACTGTTACTTTCAGAAAACTGTTAGTACTTCAAACTGTTACACATTGAGTATGGTATGACCTGGTAATTCCACTCCTATGTATATATCCAAGAAAATTGAAAAAATGTTTTCATTCAAAAAATATACCTGAGTATTCACAGAAGCACTGTGCATAATTGTCACAAGATGGAAACAACCCTAGTGGCCATCAACTGATGCATTCAACATAAACAAAATGTATATGTCTATACGATAATACACTACTTGACAATAAGAGTACAAATAAATGCTGCAACATGGATTAACCTGAAAATACGATGTTAAAGTTACAAATGCCAGTCACAGTAGGCCACACAGTGTGTAATTTACATGTATATGAAATGTCTGGATTAAGCAATCCATAGACACAGTTGATGAGTGATTTCCAGAGGCTGGTGGACGATAGGAAAAATGGAAAAGAACTGCTAATGAAGGTGGGTTTCTTGTCAGGTTGAAAGTTTTTACTGAAAATTTCCCAGGGAAGGGGCACCTGGGTGGCTCAGTGGGTTAACCTTCTGCCTTCAGCTCAGGTCATGATCCCGGGGTCCTGGGAGTGAGTCCCAAATTGGGCTCCCTGCTCAGCAGGAAGCGTGTTTCTCCCTCTGTTTCCTGGGCTTGTGCTTTCTTCTCTCTCTCACTCTCTCTCTCAAATAAATAAGTAAAATCTTTTAAAAAAGAAAAAAAAGTTTCCCAGGGGAAGTAAAGGCAAGTGTTTCTGTTTCATTGGATATACATATAACATTTTGCTCTAAGAATTCCCAGGTTTTTATCCTTGGCCACTGGATGTTGGGTCTTCCTTCTTCCTTTTCTAACCTGCCTTCTGACTGCTTCCCCTAAATCTCTAAGTCCCTGAATTTAGACTGTTCTTTTTAATCATTTTGCTTTTTTATAGTTTTATTGAGGTGTAATTGACTTAAAATAAAATGCAACATATATAAAGTGTAGATTTTTATATGTTTAGACACATATATACCCACATCATCACAGTTAAGATACTGATCGTATCCTTAAACCCAATTAGAATTTAACTGTGATCCTGGTTTTTCAAATTAGCATCCCTTTAGCAACAAATACTAGTGGCTCCAGGCAGCCAGTAATTAAAAATAACATTTTTGGAGGGTCACAGACATAAACATATATTTAAATTTTTTCATTTTTTAAAAAAAGATTTTATTTATTTATTTGAGAGAGAGAAAAAGAGAGAGCGTAGAAGCAGAGGGGAGAGGGAGGAGGGGAAGCAGACTCCCCTTTGAGCAGGGAGTCCAATGCAGAGCTTGATCCTAGGACCCCAGAATCATGTCACAAACTGAAGGCAGATGCTTAACTGACTGAGCCACCTACCCAGGCGCCCCTCTTTATTTTTATTATACTGTTGTATTAGTTTTCTAGGGCTGCCCTAACAAAGTACTACAGACTTTCATAAGTGGCTTAAAACAACAGAAACTTACTATCTTATAGTTCTGGAAACTAGAAGTCCAAATTGAAGATACTGGCAGGGCCCTGCTCCCTCTGAAACCTATAAAGAAGAATGCTTCCTTCCTAACTTTTCATGGTGTCATGTTTGATGTTCCTTGGCTTGTAGCTGCATCACTCCCAGTTTCTGCCTGTCTTTTCACATGGCTTCCTTCTGACTGTGTTTTGTCTTCTCTTCTTACAATCAGTCATGTTGAATTAGAGCCCACCGTGATGACCTCATCTTAACTCGATTACATCTGCAAAGACCCTCTCCTAAATAAGGTCACATTTATGGGTACTGGTCTTAACCATCTTTAGTGGAGAACACAGTTCAACCCATAACAGGTGGTCAAAGTACATCCACCAAGCTTTATTCTTAACATTATATCATATTTGTTCCAGATCTTAGTTTTTAGGAAATAAAATATTACAGCCAAAGCGTGGTGCTCTCTGTATCTCTCCATGGTTCTATCCCCATTCTTCCCTTCACAGAGGTAACCACTCTGATGAATATAGTGCTCTTTCGTTCCTCATGTAGGTCTTTATATAGTTATGATGTTGTATAAACCCTTAAACATGTCTTCACCTGTTTTTCAGATTTTAAACTTTTTAAAGTAAATGGTATATGATAGATTATTTTGCAGTTTGCTTTTTCCCTGAATATTTTTTATATTTATCCATCTTGAAACACTTACTTCCTTTATTCTAACTGCTATATAATATGTCATAGTATGTGTATATCTCAGTTTACCTATTTTCTTATTGATAGACATTTATCTTTTTTCCCCCTGAGTTTTGCTATTACTGATAATACTCCAGTGAACATTGTTGTATCTCATGCACATGTATGAAAGTTTCTCAAGGGTGGAAGTTGAGTTGAGTTGCTTGAATTTCTAGCATATATTCCCTTTGCTAGACTTGGCCAAGTGAATCTCCAAAGTGGTTGCAATAATTCATATTCTTAGTAACAGTGTATAATAGTTCCTGTTTCTCCCAATTTATTGCTAACACTTAGTATTGTCACACCTAAACATTTTTGCAAATGTGCTATGTTTGAAAAGATACCACATTGCTGTTTTAATTTGTATTGCTGGTTTTCATTTTCTTTCTTTCTTTTTTTTTTTTTTAGGAATAAATTAAATTATATATTTATAAAGTGCTTGGCACTAGTAATCACTCAGTAATATTTACCTCTCTCTTCCTTTCCTACTTCTACCAAGGTATATTTAATCTATGGTAAGTTTAATTTATTCTTTCTTTTTCCTAGACATTTTTAGTCTTTTTGCAAGTGAATCTGGGAGCTATGTTATACGGGAAGAAATGGAAAGAATGCTCCATGTGGTGGATGGTAAAGTCCCAGATACACTCAGGAAGTGTTTCTCAGAGGTATATTTAAAGATTTACATTTCATCTCTGCTTATCACAAAGTATTAATTCTTAGATGTTTATGTGCAACATATTATTGACATTTTTGTTTTTAATGGTTGATGTTTCAGCTGTTTATGTGCTGTGCTCAGAGGTCCATGACACTTACTACTGCTGTATTTGTGAATCTGAAAATTCCCAATTCTGCTTTAAAAGCAAGTGTCTCTACTTATGGTATAATGAAACACACTCTTACATTCTGACACCAACACAACTGGTGATCTGCAGGAAGCTGAGCATTGCTCATATTGTAGTGTCATTGCTTTTCATTGTACAAATGGCCTTGAGCCATCTGTGACTCTGGGACGTGTCAAGGCTTATTTTGTCATTCATTTGACTTAACTGATTTGCATAGTGAAATATTTGGGTCTGAAAAACCTGTTATTTTTTTTCTGTTTTCATAAATATATTTTCATTGTAGAAAACCTAAATAAAAAAAAAAAGCATATCTTTAACAGAGAATATTCTCCACCCCACCTCCCCTGCCCTTTTCATTGGTCTGCTAATATGGGAAAAGTCCCTAGAGATGGTAGAGTAAAAACCCTTTTAGAATTTTCTGATCCTTTCCTGCAGCACATTCAGTGCTGCGTGATTTTTTATGGCTGGCTGTTTGACTCATTTGCATTTCACAGATAGGACAGCCCCTTACTGCTCATAGTTTTATTCAGTTTAATTTAGTCACCCTCCTAACTGTGTAGGCACTGATTGTCAGTACTCCAGCCATATCATATATGTGGTTCTAACGTCTCTTTGGACCCTCTAGCTTTAGCTTTTCACTCTTCTGTCTTTGAGTTTCTTCTGTGTTGACAGCACCTGGAGATTTCCCTTTCTTGCTTTGAGCTCGCTGGTATGGTTTTTGGTTACGTTTATGGTGTTACATTTTACTCAGCATTTCTGTGTGTTTGGTACAAAAGGTTTGGCTTTCTGCATTTTTGCTTCTGACATACTGACTGAAAGTTGCTGTGGTAGTATTTCAGTACTTCAAGACAAACTGAGCTGTGGTTTTTCTCTCCAGTAAGAAACATTTTCTGGTCAAAAAAAGTCATCTAATCTTTGCAGGCCTGATTAATTGGATTTTTCACAGAGATGTCCAATGTGTTAGTACTCTGTACATTTTGGGGGAGAATGTATATTTTTCTTATTTTAATAGGTTTTATGCACACATTCCCATTTTATTGATGGGAATTAAATGTGGTTAACGTCACCCAGTTCTCTAAAGTTTATGTACAATAGCAGATACATGTATTAGATGATAATTAGTGCTATAGGGGAAAATTTAAGTAAAGTAAGGGGGATAGGTGGAGATAAGCAGGAGGTGGCTGAGTGGAGTTATTTTGTGTAGGGTAGTTGGGAAAGGCTTGTCAGATAAAGTGACATTTGAACCAAGAATTTAAAGGATGAGAGATATAACCTGCAAATATCTGGGAAAGCATTTTTCAAGAAGAGAATACAGCAAAGGCCCTGAGTGGGGAGCGTGCTTGACATGTCCAAGCAACAAGTTACCTGCCATAGAGTAAGAGAATAGTAGGAAATGAAGTTACAGAGGTTGGGGAAGGGGGGGGGGATGAGGTAGGGAGATTATATGTGGCTCTGTAGGACAGTGTGAGTTCTTTGACTTTTACCCTGAGTGAGATAAAACACTGGAGGGTTTTGGGCAGAGGAATGAATACATGAGGGTTGTTTTGTTTTGTTTGTTTTTATTTGAGAGAGAGTGTGTGGAGGGGAGGGGCCGTGGGAGAGGGAGAAAGAGAATCTCAAACTCCACGGAGTGCAGAGCCCACCCGCCTCAGTCTGATGACCCCAAGATCATGACCTGAGCCAAACCAAGAGTTGGACACCTAACTAACTGAGCCAAGTTGCCCCAACATAAGGTTTTTAAAAACATGATCAGTTTGGCTCTTCTGTAGAGGGTAGGCGAAACAGAGACCACCTGAGATATCTGAATAATCCAGGTGAGAGGTGGTAGTCGTGTAGATCATGGTATAGCTGTGAGGTGATGAGAAGTTTTCAGATTCTGCATTTATTTTAGAGAGAGAGTTGACAGGAATTTTTCTTGTATTGATTATGGGCTGTGGTAGAGAGAGAAGAGGAGATGACTAAGGTGTTTGGCTTGATTTATGAAGTGAATGGAATTTCCTTTAATTACGATGGTTAATATTATTAGAGGTAAAAGTTTGGGGTTTTGATATCAAGGGAGATTAAAGACATAATTAAATTTGAAAATCACTTTAGACATTAAAGTGGAGAAGTCAGTTGTGCTTTTTGATACATAATTTAGCGTTCATGGGATAGGATTTGTTGGCCTATAGTTAAGGATGAGATCATCTTGGAGTGAATTTAGATAGAAAACAGATTGGAATACTGAGTCCTGTACTGCAATGTTCAGAGATTAATGAGATGACGGAGAAGCAAAACAGGAGCCTGAGGAATAACCTGTGAGGAGAACCAAGAGAATGGTGTTCTGGAAGCCCAGTGATGAAAGTGTTTTAAAAGAAAGGAGTACTTACACCAAATAAACTGAAAGGTCAAGTAAATTGACCTTTGATCATTGAGAAGTGATTATGAGATTTGGCAGTGTAGAGGAAGGTCACTGGTATAGGTCCTGTGGAGTTAAAAAAAAAAAAAAATCACTGGAGTTAGGATACTAAAAGAAGTTTGCTCCTAAGTGGATATTGTAAGGGGGGAAGTGGAATGTTTAAAATTGCATTTAATGGAAAGGGAATAGTTACTATAATAAAAAGATCATAAGACTGTTATTAAGGCTGTGGTTAAGTGTTGTAAGAAGGACAAGATCTTTGGAAGAGGAAAGATCAAAGAAATGAGAGGCCCCAGTTTTGGAATACTCATGAAGAGGGATTTAAATCACTAGATGCTTGTGATTGGTTTAAAAAAAAAAAAAACAGCACGGTAAATGGGCTAATTTTTTATCTGATTCAACTATTTGATGTATTAACCTGCTGTAATTTCTGAGTAATTATCATGTCCAAACCCTTGATTTTCAAGTTAACCATGTTTCAGTATAAGTATATATGTATATAAGTATATATGATATAACACTTATATTAGAATAGATTTATTTGGACCTCCCATAACACAGCACCTCCCATAACACCACAACAAAAAAACCCCAGAACTATAAAGAGAAGCACTGTGGACCTAGTACCTAGATTTAAGTGACATGGAATGGGTTTCAGCTTTTTCTGTCTTGTGCTTTTATTAGCCTTGATGAAGTTATAAAGGAATCCATGTAGGAGTTGTTGTATTCTTTTCCTACTGAGTATTTTCTTAGGTTGTCAGTTTTTAAGGTGGAAATTCATATTTTATATTGTTTTTTAAAGTTGTATCAGTTTCAGGGGCCTGTTATTTTTAATTGCCCTATGTTATTGGAATTTTTTTTTCTGAACTATTGTGACAATTTATAAAAGGAAACTTTGTGTTTGCTGCCTTTTTTTAGAAGACATCCATGACTCAAAAACATAAAAAGTTGGGTTTAACAGATGGAATTTGGGTGTTACCAGTATTGCAGTGATCTGAATGGATAGCTGGAGTTCCGAGATTACTTTATATTTTACTAAGTCAGCCACCAAGTGTGGTGTATAACTTAGGCTTAGAAACTTTGGACTATCTGGGTTTAGTCATATCCCTGTCACTGTATAATTAGATATTTCACTTTTTAATGCCTCAGTTTTCTCCTGTGTGAAATAGGGATGATAATAGTATCTCCTATAGAGGGTTACTTTGAAGATTAAATTAATATAAACATGTTTAGGGCTGCCTCGCTGGTTCATTTGGGGGAGTTTGTGACTCTTGATCTCAGGATTGTGAATTTGAGCAATGTTGGGTATAGACATTACTTAACAATAAAATATTTTTTAAAATTTTAGAACAGTGCTTGGGGAATTGAAAACAGTATTGACTATATGGGAAGGTGGTAAAAGTGCCTATTTTAATTGGCAACTTCTTCCTTTCTTAGTATGTGAGGGTGCATTTTATAACAATAACATCTTAGCTTCACCGAAACCATTGATGCTACATGTTTCATTGTATCTAAGATCCCATTGATTAGAAGATGTACCTGCATGTATTACAAAGAAAGAAAAAAAACCTGCTAGTTAATAACTGAAGGACACTATTGATTTTTTTTTTTAAGATTTTATTTATTTATTTGACAGAAATCACAAGTAGGCAAAGAGAGGGAGAAGCAGGCTCCCTGCTCAGCAGGGAGCCTGATGCAGGGCTCGATCCCAGGACCCTGAGACCATGACCTGAGCCGAAGGCAGAGGCTTAACCCTCTGAGCCACCCAGGCGCCCCAGGACACTATTGATTTTAAAACTCATCCCAATTTACACATTAACATGTGTAAAAATATGTGCAAGCTTCTGGATATATACTGCTAATCCTCTTTCTAGACTAAATGTGGGAAACAGAAAGAATATGGGTATGATCCCTGATCTCTGCACATGCTGGCAATGTCCTCTCATGTCCCTGCAGCAGCTCTGAATGCCACCTTCTTCCATTCAGAAAAACAAGACTTTTGATGTTGTTTTGATTTGAGTTATACTGTTAAATCTTCTGAAACTACTATGTGAAGTATATTACTGTACTTAATAGGATGCTTCCAAATAATATAGAAATTATTTCTACCATATATCACTTTTAGGTTATGAGTTATTTGTATCCCTTAATATTTCTATCAGGATTAGACCCGATAGGCTCCTGAATGTCAGTTTTCATTGTATTTCCATGTGGGTTGCTTCTCTTTTTCATAGAAACATCTGGCCCTCATTCACCCTAAGTCCTCTTGTCTCCCAGGCAAAGAAATTGACTTACATAGCTATGTGATGTTTTTTCTCAGCCCAGATACTTTTTTTTTTTTTAAAGATTTTATTTATTTATTTGACAGATCACAAGTAGGCAGAGAGAGAGCGGGGAGGAAGCAGGCTCCCTGCTGAGCAGGGAGCCTGATGCGGGGCTCTATCCCAGGACCCTGAGACTATGACCTGAGCCGAAGGCAGAGGCTTTAACCCACTGAGCCACCCAGGCGCCCCCAGATACCTTTTTTTATCCAGGATTTAGAAAGCAAAATATTTGACAAGAAAGCAAAGAAATAGAAATCTACTTGTTTCTTTTTGTATTCTGGTTGACTTATGAATACGTGTTTTCAGTGATGCCTTCTGGAAGAGGGCCCCAGGACAGTTGTTTTTAATTTGCCCTGGAAATTCAAAAGAGCATTTGAATACCACACATACTTAATTAAAAATGCTAATTATGACAGATTCAGGTGGTGAAGAAGAGAGGGATAAGGCAAGTAAAAAATTGGCCTTCTTAAATATAGGAAAAAATGCAGTTTATGGATTTCGGGATATACCTTAGTAAATAAAATATGGCTTATTAGTAACAGTGCACTGCTTTAATGAATTGATAAAATAATTTACAATTAGCAAATAGATTTTATGGAAATAGAAGTTCTTAAGTACAGTTATTTCTGAAAGCAGTTTGATTTCCAGGTATACAGTCTGTAGTGTTATTTAGATTCATCGTTCCTTTGTAGATAGTAGAAAGGTAAATGTCAACGAATTGCAAATTTCAGGTTGTGCAAGTTCTAAGCAAGATATGTTAAAATTTGACTAAATCTATGGGTTTGTTTTTTTTCCTTTTAGGGTGAAAAGGTAAACTATGAAAAGTTTAGAAATTGGCTTCTTCTAAACAAAGATGCTTTTACCTTCTCTCGTTGGCTACTATCTGGAGGTGTTTATGTGACCCTCACTGATGATAGTGATACTCCCACTTTCTACCAAACTCTAGCTGGAGTCACACATTGTAAGTAATGGCATTTTGTTGTTTTCTATTCACTTTTTAATACAGTTGCCTGGTTATATGACAATATGCCTAGTAAGGAGAAATTTATTGTCAGTGGTTTTTTTCTTCCAAAGTGTAAAAAATAAAGTACTGGAATACTTGGTACATAGCTGAAAAGGAAAACTCTTTTTCTCTACTCACCAAATACTTTTGTGCTTCACATGTGTGGGGGTTTCCCCCACACAAAGCAACTCACCATGCTCTGTAGATACCAGTGGATGTTCTACAGTTCAGTTCAGTTCTTACATACTGTCTACCTGGGAGTGAGCACAGACCCCACCGATTTAGGGCTCAGTCCATCTGCTGCCCACATCAGAGGCCAGTCACAAATCTCGGTTGTTGCCAGTGCTTCTGGTCAGCTAGCTCTAAATGAGATGATCTCCCTCCTTGGGTTGGGTAATTTGGTAGAAGAGCTCATAAAACTCAGGGAAACAGTTTATGTTTACTGACTTAATATATATATAAGAAGGGTTGTGTTAAAACAATACAGATGAAGAGCCAGATGAAGAGATACATAGGGCAAGTTTGGAAGGGTCCCAAGCACAGGAGCTGGGATGCGCCAGTCCTTCTGGCATGGATGTTGATGTTCATCAATCCAGAAGCTCTCCAAAACCCATACTTTTGGGATTTTTATGGAGGCCTTATCACATATAGGTATGATAAATTATTAACTCTATTTCCAGTCTCTAGTAGGGCTGAAAGTTCCAGGTTTCTAATTATGGCTTGGCCTTTCTGGTCACCAGCCCCCCTCCAGAAGCCCACCAAGAGTCACCACAAGCATTATAATGAAAGACTGCTATCACCCAGGAAGTTACAAGGGATTTAGGACTTTGTCAGAAACCTTATCACTCAGGAAGTTAAAGAGTTTGGTCAAAGACCAAATATTAGCGGGAGCCGGGGGCAGAAACCAATTTCACACTATTTCATAATAGCACTCTACTTATTGTCCATAACCAAGTGGTATTAGTTTCCTAAAGTTATTCTAACAAATTAGCACAGTTCTGGAAACTGAAATCAAGGTGGTAACACGTTCCTCTGAAGGCCCAGGGAAGAATCCTTCCTTGACTCTCCCAGCTTCTGGTGACTCCAGGCTCTGCTTGTGGCCATTTAACTCTACTTTCTGCTTGCATCTTCCAGTGGCCTTCTCTGTATCTCTCTGTGTCCTCTCCTTTTCTTATAAGAACACTCGTTATTGGATTTGGGCCCCAGCCTAAATTCAGGGTGCTGAATTCATTACATCTACAAAGACCCTATTTCCAAATAAGGTCATATTCTGAGGTTCCAGGTGGTCATGAATTTTTGAGGGATATCATTGAACCCACTACTATATAGGCCTTAAATGTTAATTTCTACTGTTCTTTCCTGTAGGTACAGAAAAGTACCTGCACTGGGCTTTTGCTAATGCTGTTGCTTAATACTGGAATCCTTTTTCCTTTCCTTCTCTCTGTAAATCCTAGTCATCTTTGAAGACTTAAATCACATGCCCCTTTGTTTCCATGAAACCTTTTCTTATCGTCCTGTGGGAAATCATCTGTCATTCCTCTGAACTATCATAACACATTTTTTGTACACTTCTTGGATGAGCTTACCACTTTCCACCTTTTATTATAATTATTTATAGCATTCTATTTATGTGCACATGTCATCTCTCTTTTTTAGAGAAAGACACAGTGAGAGTGGGGGTGAGGAAGGGGCAGAGGGAGAAGGAGAGAGAGACCGCTGAGCAGGTTCCATGCCCAGTGGGGAGCCTGTGTACATGTCATCTCTCTTAAATTATAGAATCTATATTATTCTTTCCTCTCTCTCCCTCTATGCCAAATCTTAAAAATAATTATTTGTTGCCTGAATAGAGTACCTTGGGTGTCAAGTACTGTTTTTATCTGTTGCTTTATGGAACTTACGACTGGTTATTAATTATACAGCAGCTACTTTTCTACCCATTTTCATTCCATTCTTACCAGAAGTTCCAGCAGATTCTGGCACGAATAGGCAATGAACTTGATTTTACTACTTTTCTGTGCCCTTGTCTTTATTTTTGATAGGAAGCCTCTTTAAAAAAATTGTTTTGTATAAAAAATTAGGGACTTTTTTTTTACACTCACAGTAAGCTCTAACTTAACGTTAATATTTAAATTGTCAGTATTATGTATATTTTGCTGAACTTTTGGTTTCATATTTGATTGTATGGTAAATTATTTTTCTGTTAATATTGGCTTAGAGTGTGACTACTCCCCTTTAATAACTTGTGTTAAAGAAAAAATTATTCTGACTCTTGTTAAAGTGGTAAGGAAGACTTAAATCCAAGACTTCTACAGTAGTCTATTGTAGTAGTAGAGAGAGCTTGGTCAAAACAGGGACAGATAAGGAGTTGTAGCCAGGGAGTGAGGTGAGATGGTCAGAGATGTCAAGGGTAAGGGGAATTCTTCCTAAAGGCAAGCCAAGAACTTATACATCAAAGGTGGGGTTTGAGAAACTTGATCAGATATCAAGGGTAGGCAGACAACTTGGCAGGATTCTTTGCTAAGACTGAATCTGAAAAGACTGGATGGGGGCCAAGTTGGAGGTCTAGTAGAAAAGAGGGCTCAAAGAAGCAGGACTAAAGTGTGGTCAAGGAGAAAGTCTTTTTGTCAGTTTCTTGAGGTTAAATTAGGTCTGACATACTTTGCAAATGCAAATGCTGCTTATTCCTTATTTTGGAAAGCACTGTAGTATTACAGATTACAGATTTACTTAAATTGAGTCAGAATAATTTTCAAAATGTTAAAAATGTTATCCCATTATATGGTTCCATTTTTATTTGAAAGTAATCTTTTCTGTTTAGCTTTTTATCATTTGGGAAGATTTCTTGAATTTTTAATAGTGTTTGAAAGTTATAATTCCTTTGCCTTGTTAAAAAATATTTATCTTGAATTATTTAAAGCAAATATTAATGTAGATGCATTGTTTTACCTGTAATAATGACCTTCTAATTTCTAAACTGAGTGGTTTCTTCTTAGGGTCATTGTATCTACTCGTACCTCACTGCAGCATTTTAGCACTATTGACCATTCAGTTTTCATGAAATTCTCTTTTTTGGCTTTTGAAACATTGTAGTTTCCTCGTTTTTGTTGTTGTTTGGGTTCTGTTTTGTTTTTTTGTGGGTTTTGGTTTTTTTTTTTTTGAGTTTTCTTTACTGCTCTCCTTTTTCTGTCTACCTTTTAAATGTAAGTTATTTCTCATGGATTCACCTTTGGCCCTATTTTCTTCTTAGATGATGTGCATGCTTTTGTTTCGCTACAGCCATTTCCATTGCTTTGCCTATCCATCATATCTCTGCAGGTGATACTTTTTTTTTTTTTTTTTTAAGATTTTATTTATTTGACACACAGAGATCACAAGCAGGCAGAGAGGCAGGCAGAGAGAGAGGAGGGAGCAGGCTCCCCGCTGAGCAGAGAGCCTGATGCGGGCCTCGATCCCAGGACCTTGGGATCATGACCTGAGCCAAAGGCAGAGGCTTTAACCCAGTGAGCCACCCAGGTTCCGCTGCAGGTGATACTTTGATGAAGTTTTCTGGTCTTGCTTATCTCAAACTCTATATCATTTTAATCAGTGCCTCCTGAATATTAGTGGAAAGCAAGATTCAGCTGAGTAAACTTGAAGATCAAATTGGCTTTATTCAAATCATGAGCTCAGCAGTATCCCGTCTAGCAAATAGAAAGAAGCTCTGAGGAATTGTAAAAAAATTGAAGGCTTTTATAGGCAGAAGGAAGCAGGAGTAGGGATATGAGGATGGAGTTTCTAAAACGAAGAGTGGATTGTTAGATTGTTTCAGGCAAGGTCATCTTCTTTTGGGGGAATGGCAGGGGTCTGTCAGGCAGAATACTTTACTGGTGCTTATCAGGTGATTCAAGATTGACTGGTTAAAGGTCAGATTTCTGGGAGAGGCTGAAACTACAGTTAGATTAGATATTAAATCTTTGTTTGCCCCGTGAGGCTCAGCACAGGTGTCTCCATTTGGGGCCTACTGGGTTTTTTTTGTTTTGTTTTGTTTTCTTTTTCTTTTCCTTTCTTACTCTTACTCTTACCAGAGCTCAGATCAAGACAGCCACTTAACCAGTTAAACCACCCGGGTGCCCCTATTGTCCCTTTTAAAAAATCTAACATCTTAATATTATTATATTAATTAATATTAATATATTCTAACATCTTAATCTTGTATGTAAAATCAGATTCACGTTTCCTTCCTTTCAACCCACCTAAAGGGTCAGAAAGCAAACAATGTGTTCTTCCTCCTGTCTCTTCTGTTGTGGTTAATAGTATTTGTAATTCCAGTCATCCAATTTGAGATTAATTTTGACTTTTCCTTGTCAGGCTTCACATTAGATCCTATCAGTCTTAGCTGTATTTCTTACATCTTTCTTTACTGTTGACGTCATTGCAATATTTGTCCTTATTTATCTGACTATATGTTAATGCTGGGAAAGAATAAAGGACAAATTTGTTGTGTTTGTTGTTGTTTAGTTTACATTAAAAAATATAAACTCTTCCCTGCTCCAGAATCTTTGAGGAGTCTTCATGTTCTGTAGAACAAAGTTTAGACTCCTTAGTGTGGCTCTAAAGTCTCTTAGTTTCCTATTCTTAATTATCCGTATTCATTTTTCCTTACATATGTTCTGTGCTTCATCTCCAGAGCACTGCTCAGTCTTCCATAACTATACCCCCATGAACTTTTACAGCTACCCCATACATCACTCCTAATATTCCTTCAATTAAGATTGCATTTCATCTTTCAGCCCTTGACAATTGAAATACTTTGTCCTCAAAGCCCAATTCATATGCTTTCTTTTTCGTCATGCTTTTTCCATTTTCTTCAGTTTGAATTAATTACTTTCCATTTGCATTCTTGCACATTTTACATTTCAATTAAAGCAATTAAGTTGCTTTTTGCCTTACCTTAGAGACATTGAAAATGGCTTTGATCC